TTGAAATCCAATCATGACTTTGGATTCTTGTATGTGGGGAATCTAACAAGCTAATTTACGGAAGGTCGGTGGTTCTAGTCCGGTGCCCGCTCGTGTTTGAAATGTTTCACAAAGGGAATCTGGGGTCTTTCTTTACACTAAAGCAGGAATGTTTTCACCATGACCTCAGTGTCGTTGAAAGAAACTTAAAATCCAAGAGAGCCAAAAGTAACAAATCCTTTTAAATACTTACAAGATGCATTAAATGGTATTTAACACAAAATTAAGATTGCAGTATTGCTCACTTAAATACTGTGTTATCATTCTTAGGGTATTGCCTGCTTGTTAATTGTGTCTTTTTGACAGCTATCTATGGTATGAAGGCTTCATAACCACCGATCCCCCTCTCAAAATTTCATTTTATTTAGTTTCACTTATTGTATTCTCGTTTAGGGCACCCGCAACCTGTGGGTAATATGCCGCTTTTCATAGAATGGCAATAACATGTCACATTGAAGGTTCCATGATAACGCCATATGAACACATCCACAGATGTTAAAAAATCTAAGTGTACCAGTTCATGTTTAATGTGAATTCTTTCTGAAGCCGGTGCTAGGAGGCGTGTACGGTAGCTTGCAGTTACCATTATCGTCCCATGAACAGGTTTAATCAAACTGAGCCTGCAACATTTTAAGGTTTTCCGTGTGGACTTTTGTTAAGGATTCTTTTTTTCTCTATTTATTACTAATAGGCATTATTATAAATGTGTAACCCGAAATCAAGCAATAATGTTTCTTCTCTCAATACAATCGATAAAAGTTACTGTTGTTGTCGTGAAAACAGTCCTTACTTAGGACATTACTTATTCTGCAAAAAAGTCTCAATCTGAAACCTAAAGTAAGAAAATAGCAAACTATAACTTTTCTGCTGAAGAAAAAAAAGTAAATACAACATTTCAAGAATGTATAAATAGAAAGGTTGTGAGTTATTTCATACAATAATGGATACACGAAACTTTGTTTGAAATTTGGCAAGTATCTAAAACTGTAACCCGAAATCTGGGTATAAACTGTAACAAAATTGGATCAAAGTCGCAAAGTCTATGCTGTAACCTTCAAAATTAACCTCGCTCTATACTGTAACATTGTTTATTTTTTCAACGCATTTTACCAACAGGAAAATAGGTTCAGTCTGGTCATTTACTTGTATAAACGTTTCTTAACCCAAAGGACTAACGTTTTGTAGATTTACTTTATCCAGGCATGCATAAATAATATCGGAATGGGAGAAAAATGCGTTGGTCTCTCGATTTAAATTTTTAAACTGTCAAATCTGCACATTTCTGAGACAATATAGAGATAAATCTGCGGTGTAGGGGTCTGAAGAAATATATGACTAGATACCGGATTCTGTTCCTTACAAGCAAAGCACAAAAGCAACTTTTAGAAACTAAACTACTAGTAGTATGGACCCGAATAAAAATCACCTACCTCTCTTCTCATAAATAATCCTCCATCTTGAAAATTCTATACTGTAACCGAAAAACGCGATACTGTAACACGTTCCCTACGGTGATAGTGTTACTTCACTTATATGCAAGTAACATTCTTATACATTATGTAGTGTACTGTAACAGTGGTACGAGTGCACAATGTAGTGCACATACTGTAGTGTAGTAGAACAATAAAATCTTCTGACCCATTACAAGCAAAATAATATTTTTTGCCTTAATACGACAAAATACTGTAAACAATCTAACCTTGTAGATGTTATGCGCAAATGGGGATTTTAAGACATATGTCAAATAGTTTTAATTTCTTCAATTTCTTTAATGGCAGTATTATACGTGCAGTAAAACATTAACCGGACCATATGTGCAGGGTATTTTAATGTTAACCTGATCCGGTGTTATACGGGTAACTTATTTTCAGATTTGTTTCAGCGGCCGAAAAATATATCTCACACTCTCTCGCTCACACTCTTGATGTCGAAAAAGTTTATGCCTTTTTAAATCACCTATTTTAATATGCGTAGCTTATTCAACTTACGGCTTGACGCCTAATTTCACATTGAAATTGTGATACTTAATATCTTGTCGTTAGCGCAAGTTATATAAATTTTAAAATTAAAATTTTATATGGTTTCGTTGGAATGACAAAAATTTCGAGATGGATGCGCTTCGGATGTTTAAAATTTCATTATAATTCGTATTTATCAATATAGTTAAAAATGCTATACGAAAGGGTAGAATGTTTGCTTTATGCCACCCATATTAAATATGAAAAAAGGGGCCCCCAATTTTAAACCAAATTCCTTTAAATAATTATTTATATTTTAAAGGGTGTTTTTTATTACATATGAATAGATGAGAAACATGTATCAGAGCGAATTACCTTGAAAACGTGAAATTTATTACAATAATATATATATTGTCTCTTTAGACAAAGAAGCTAATTTAGTAGACAAAGTAATGCTTCAAACTATTATTCAGTTGTGTGAAAAAACTTGTCCGTCTTAGAGTTCGGAACTATCGATTGTACGGAAGCGTCCGTTTTATAAAAAAGAATAACTCCCTAATCATACATTTTTATCTCCTACGTAGGAGTTGTTCTTTTTATTATAGAACATTAGGATCTGGGGACAAGGTGCTTCTGTGTGAGGATTTAGATATAGAAATTATACATTTAAGCTGCCAAATGAAAATAGACTCGTGGGACAGGCTCCTCTGACTATGTACTGGTAATATAGACAAAGTATTGAAGCTGCTACCATAGACTACCTTAAACACTATGATTGCATTTGAATTGTTTGAGCTAGACCTTCACTTTTGTAAGTTACACATTGAACCACTTAGTTTTATGTTAAAAAAAACTCATGACACCTCAACTTAATATTACACCAGTTATAGTTATAATAGTGTAATACATTATTTTGATATACAGAATATCTCTAGTCGAAATGTAACATAAAGTATTCGAATATGGTCTTGACATTTAAAAAGACAAATGATTTCACTGTGAGCTATACCGACTTTTGGCATGAATCTAAAATACATTGGCAATACTTCCCGTCATATTTCGTATGGCTTCTCCTATTATTTCTATATCTGTAGATCGAGTCGTGTATATTACGCAGTTGTGGCCAGCAATAAATCGCAATTATGTGCCATTCTATGGGTTGGATACAACCGTCTGACATTATAACATCACTAAAACATGTATATCATGTATTTTTATTGTTACTGTACAAGATGCAGCAACTGTTAATATAATATGACATAACCGTCATAAGAGCACAGTAAGCTTTCTGATTTCAAACTATGATACTGTGAAAAAACAAACATAAAAAAATGCAGGAATATTTTAACTTTGATATAAGACTGAATAACTATTGGCTCACACATCTTTGATATTAAAGATATCACCAAAAAGATTTGTATTTTTTATATAAAATTGTAACGTTATGGAACATAGCATTTAGCTAAAGCATAAATTTTCTTCATCGTTATGAGGAACCGACCTGAATCCTTGTAAAGGAACTCCACTGAGGTTCAAAAGCCTAAACAAATGACAATAAAATAATTTGTTCATAGTACAACTATGTCATTTATATCAGAAATATATGCAACAGACAATAAAGAAATATGCTCAAAAATAAATGGAAATCGTATTTTTGTGCTTTTCACAGCCTGATTGAGTGAAAAGTGTTGCAATGCAATTCAATTTCGGGTCATTTCTCACAATTAGAATATTTGTTCTGGAAAAAAGGAGTGAGCAATGCATATGGAATTCTGCACGCAAGTTATTGGTCTAGATCTACATCAAATGGAATATTTATCTCGAAAAATTATTTCCAGTCCAGTTATGTCAAAATACATCAGAGGAGTCCCTTTAATGTATCAAGGTACTGATCAAATAAGGAAAATGTTGCAGGCTGGGCTTGATAACGTCTGTTTATGGACGGTAGTGGTTAATGCAAGCTCTACAATCTAAGCTCCCTAGTACCGACTTAAATAGAATTTAACATGAAATTATGAAAATGTAGAAACACCCGCTGTTATGCCATGGTCATGGTCAGTCCAACTTGTATATTTCATGTCATTAGACATTTTATTACTGGCTGTTTTCCGAATTCAAAGCATTATATATATTATCATATCAATTACATAACGTCAGCAGTGGAAGAGTTAACGTTCTTGGAGTTTGAAGTAAAAAAAAAAAACAAACAAAAACCCTCTTTAACAAAAATGGCAACGTGTTGACCATCATATAACGATATCTTTTTAATATTTCAGCCGATTCAATATTCTGTATTTCTAATTGAGTACATATCACTTAAATATGTGCAATCTTTTATTAAAAGTGTAGCATATGTTAATGCGACGGAAGTGGTTAAGTAAATTATACAAAAAAGACATACATCGTACTCATGATTCAAATTTATTTTTTTTGTACTTTTATAACTTTCAGTATAGAAATAGTAATACAACAATAATTTAAATATGCAACGTAACAAGGTATACACAAATATTGAAAACAAAATACTAGAACCATTATGTCGACGGTTTTCGTCCCGTTTTTATGTTTAATCTCCACATATAATTTGTGTTCATTTCTACTGGCCAAATATTCAAAAAATGTTCAAGCGCTCAGTCGTTTAGAGTGAACAATTGACTCTATGTGTAATTATGGCGTAACATTTTCCAACAATTACCGTGGAATGCATAAGGAATGCCTTTATTATAAGTTATATCACATGTGCTTCAAAAATGTCACATTGTTACACGATTATCAGCCAAAACCTGATGAATAATTTGTGTCATAAAAGGGAGATAATCATTGGATTTTTCTAACCTCTGGATGAGAATTTGCCGTTTTAAAACGCGCATCACAATCTCGCCGCAACCACATAACTTACAATGAGTACGGAAAAATTCTTTTTGGTTTATATTCATTCCGGAAATACCGAAAATCTATTCTCGTAAAAATTAAACATCACGTAATAAATTGTGAAATTCGTCGGTAATTTAGTCTGAACACTTGTAAACTGGGAAAAGTTACTGGGTTTTTGTTGGGGGGAATTATCGTAGTATATTTAAAATAAAAACCCGTTTTATTGCATCATCTAACCCCTTGATCTGTTTCTATTTTTTCTTACGCTTTCTCGATTTCTTACTGTTTTTAGATCTTGAAGATGGCGTTCCGCATTCGCACGCCACTGTTACGGTTTGGCGTATAAATGTCCATGTTTCCTCATATGTTGTCATGTTGCCAGTCATTGGCCGTGGTCGACACGCGTCACTTGGGTCCCTTTTTAAAACTTTGATTTTATAATTTACTTCATTACAAGTATACATTCCGAAGAAACATGATTTTTGCACGCAATAACCATCAAAAATTCGTGTTGGAAAATAGCCTTCTTTCATATGAAGCCATTTTTTCTCTTTTTTACATTCCCAAGCCGGATGAAACTTTCCAAAACTATTACTCCTTTTTTGCCGAGATTTTCGTTTCGAAATTGAGTCATGAAGCAAATTTTGGTAAAGGAATGCGTTATCATTTATCGAGTTTCTATTTTCGTCTGCGTCCCTTTTCCGTCTCATATATTTTCTACTTTGAACACTTATGGTACCTTCACTTTCTTTATTATCACTTATTTCTTCAATATCTGCTTCATCGTTTAAATAATTACCAATATCGTCATCGATATCATCGTTATCGTTTTCAGTTATCACAGACTGTAAAGACGAACTCCGTTTCATACTTTCATCATCGTATGCCATCTTTGTTTCGTCAAAAGCTCCACCCATAAGGGTACGTAACTCTTCAGTAGTCAAAGCACGACAACCCGTCGTATGAAAAGTAATCTTATTTCCATCTTCACTTACAGTAGTCTCCGGACCGTCCATTTGCTTGTCTCGTTTTTGTTCTAGTGGATGAGCAAATGTCGGACTCGACAGAAGAATGATGTATAAAATAGTAATTAACAGTTTACGGGATCCTCGTACCTGAAAAAGTAAAAAATTCCCTTTTTTTATAAATGAAAGTTGTTAAAATTTTTTAATATTATTTTTGTAATCAGAAATTAAAAATTTTCCTAAACATTTTGGGGGCAAATTTTGGGGTTTCCGTCTTCAGAAGTTTGATTCCAGAAGTAAGTTTGAAGTACAAATTCCATGTGGATATTATACTTGTCGCGTTTCTTAATTAATGTTTTCTGGGGAAAAATACGAGTATTCTAGAAAAGTCAGTAATGCATCAGAATGTTTATCATGATATGGTCATTCAATAACGCACCCTCTCAAAGGACCTTTAGGAAACGCTTAACATGAGCGCTATAACAGAACATTTCTATGTTTCTCTTTCTAATTATCATGAAACTGTACCTCCATCAGAATTTTGATAATCTTAATGGATAATAAATCAGCGAATGCTATATATGATTTAGTTTATGTTGAAAGAGTGAGAGTATTTTGCATTACAGTAGGAATTTTTTATCAATAACAAAATTATTATTAATTTGTCGATAAAATGTTTTTTTTTCCCTTACACATAAAACTTGACTGATTAGATTAGTTCAATAAAAAAACAATGATTTATATACCAAACAAGCCGATAGCATGGTCTTACATCTCATGTAAACATTAAAAAAAAGTAAACCCCCCTTGTTTCTTATCGAAAATAAAAGTCCATATTTGTGTGCATTCAAACAGTTTGGAATGTTATATCCAGTTTTTGTTTAAGTACCGCGAGAAGCTTCATTCAACTTTGACCAGTTTATGATGTATACAAACAGTGCATTATTCATTTTAAAGATCAAATTAAAGGCTTTATTCCAATAAGCAAATAATGTTAACAGCTCGTGAGCTGCGCATTTTAACGACATTCAATACTTTTTATGTTGTTTAATCTATTTTGGGTAACACAATTAACAGCACAGAAATAAAACCAGATTACAGTCTTGCCCAGACGCCCTGCTCATTGATTCGCCCGATAGAATATTTCATAGAAAAACAACGGCTCATTCAGTTTTTACGACTTTCGAACCACTTTATGGCCTAAAAACTGTCATGAAAAAATGTCCCGTTTTTTTAAACATTTCGGCATACTTAATTCTATTTCAAGCAGTTCAATTGCTCCCCTAAATTGTTTAATTTTTATCTAAATCGAAACAGATTGACCTGGTGTGGAATTATAATATTGATAGTTCTTTTACATTTCTTTTTTAAAATCATTTTCTAAAAAATTAACAAAAGATATCGAAAGTCTGATATGTTTCAATATGGAAAAACAAACAAACATAATTTTAGAAAAAAAAATAAACTAAGAATAATTACTTTAAGAAATATTAACCGATTTCTTTTTTAAGGTCACGTGACACTTGAAATATTTGAGTTTTATTATGCCTAAAAATGAATAAATTTATCAAAAACACAGCAAAACATTTTAAATGTAAGACAAGAGTTTTCCTTGTCCGTTTTGTTTTGAAGTATCTTGTTACTACAAGACGGTTGAACAAAACACACATGCTTTTTTACCCGATAGCGAGCCACTCTTTAAGCACTTTCGATATAAAAGTCGAGTAAAATAAGTACATACAATAACAAAGTTTGTTTTTGCTTTGCTCTCTGTTTGAAGTAACTGGAAGATTTATAAAAAAAACATGCTAGAAAATTCGTGATTGTTTTTACAAAGTCAAGAGTGACACGACATAACAATGTTGAGAGTAAAATGCATACCTTAAATAGCGGGCAGTTCAGTAGCATGGCATGAGTCGATCGAGGATAAATACAGCCCCGTAGATAGCACGTGAACTCAGGTTCGAGTCGCGTGACTAGCGGCTGAGCGCACCCTCTGGACTTCATGGCTGACCTTATCTTGCCGGGGGTGGCTCCGGTGCATGTTTGACAATTGGGATCCGTCTTTGCGCTATATGTTTTAAAGTTCCAAATTTCACACACCAAACTTTTTTATCAGTATAATCTACTTTTTTTTATCAATCTTTTAAAGTTTATTTCACTGACGAATGTAAAACAACAACAACAACAACAAAAAACCTGCTACAACTTTTATCAGCTGTCCAGTCCAGGAGCAAAGTTTCTCATGAAATGTTTAATAAATACAGAAACTCTAATACTTTTATACCATGTTCTTGATCAATACTATTCATAAATTTACTTCATCCACCGATCTTGTTTCACTTGATAATAAACAAACATTCTTATATCTGTCGATTGTCACAGAATCTATGATGCCGAGCCGAATCTCTCAGCATTCATATCCAAATAATTTCAGTTCCAGTAGCTGTATTCTGATTGGCTGAATCCAAAACTCCCACGCCGAATGCAAGTTGATCAATTAATCATGAAGACGTTTGGAAACGCCTATTCTGAAACAGACAAGAGAAGCAATTAAAGTCGAGCAATCTATTTCTACTCAGAAATGTAGCTTCTTGTATTACAAGCGTTGCTCCATTCATAAGTTCCTTGATTAAATACATGAGCCTGAAATAATAGGCCTCACTGTTTTTCATTGAGGCATATTTACCACATTCTATCAGATATTTTTTCTCGCCACTGGAAGCGGGCTGCTTACAGCGCCTTGTGCAACGTTCAAGAACATACCTTTTTTTTAATGTTAGTTCGATTAAATATTAAAATTTGACACGAAATATGTAGAGTTTTAATGAGAACTATATTCTATATTAATGGTAGTTAATCAATAGCGCTGTTATTGCTGTTGCGTAAGGGTTAGTCAGCGCGGGTAGGCTTGGAACTCTTTTGTTTTTTTAAACACACATCAGTACACCTGACTCATGTATGTGACCTGCAATAAATTAATCCCCCAAAGACTCTGTCATATTAACCAGTCAGCGAAACCATTCTTGTGTACCATCTGAGTCATATTTATGAATGAAACTTTCTAGAAAATATTGATTTATTACCTTAGCACTCTTAAGTCATAGGTTATTCAAGGAAATAACTTGTTTTATTTCCGGCACTGAATCATAATGTAAAGTCGATTTTAAACGTTTCAAAATCAGCATCATCAACAACATTTTAATCATCTTTATTAACAACGTCAAACACTACTAATACTACTTCGTCAAAAAAAAACTATTAGAACAACATCATCATCATCATCATCAAAAACAACAACAACAATGACAATTATAAAAAAAAAGACAATCATCTTCGTAACATTTCTTTTAAGAAATACGAGCACAAGCCAAGTATAAAACAGGAACGAATTCCGAATCAACATTATCATGATCATTATCATTACAAATAGACAGTAAAATTATCATGAAATTATGATTATCATTACTGAAAAGAAACACAACAGCAGATTATCATCGGTCTTTATATTTTTGTGGTTGATATCTCCACAGCTTTAAACATTTATCGTTTAATCTTATATGTTATATTATATAGAATAAATGAAATTGGTGCATTGTAACAACAACAACTGTGATTATAATATCATACTTAATTTTATATTTCCAATTACGTATTAATCAAATTATTATATATTTTAAGACACACCGACACAATATAAAAAGGCATACAACATGTAAAGCGTCTCTTTCTCTCTCACCCCCTGCCCGCAACCGCGCCCATAGACCTCCGTGAATTATTTTTCTACCGACTCTCTCTCCCTAACCGCCACCCCACCCACATACCTCTGTGGATTCTTTTAATTACGAGAGGGAAAATTGTTTTATAACAGAGCGAAGAATGAAACTGAGGGAAATGTAAATTATGATGTCATTTTAATACATTTTTGATGGGGATTCTATTCACAACATTAGCTGATTGAAAGCGCAGACATTCCTAGCTAGATGTTGACATCAAATATACTTTTAAAGATCATTAATCTGATAAATAGTTTCTTAAGATATACTATGATAAATAGTTTCTAAAGATATACTATATACGAGGACGGAAATAAGTGAATCCCCGCTCTTTTAAATTGAATTTATTCTAAGATTGTATTGTTTATTTTAAATTTAATAGAGGAATTTATGACTTACATTGATTTAAGGTTGTCGTTAATATCAGGTTTCATCCAGTTGATGGGATTTGGATGTGAATCAAATAAGTTTACATATATTTCCGTGTATAATTTTAATGGACCTACGAATATAATCATGCCTATACACACAACGATTTTTGTAACGTTTTCACAAAAAACATATGTTCAAAATTGGTATGCATTTCATCGAAAAACAAGCAAACAAACACACATAAGAGAAGAAAACAAAGACGGCCGACAGGACAAAACATTAAATTTTGTGGATCAGTAATAAAATAAGATCCTGTTTTGTAACTGCCTAGATGATATTTGCTGATACTGCATATCTTTAAAGCAGTTGACCCCAAACAGCGGGTTTTGATGGATTAGATTTACAACTTTCAATAACACCGGCCTTAAATAAAACCGCACGCGATTATATCGGCAAACTACAGCGTTCCGTATAATTAAACTAATTAAAATAACCAAATATAAATGAATCAATGTAAATTAATATGCACGAATATTTCGTGCTCTTTATTTACGAAATGACGTCAGCGTCTGCGTGAGATAATTTTGCATCTATTAATTCATTGTAAAAAAAAATGGGACGGAAATAATTTCCAGGACACCGATGTTTTCCTATACAATAAAACATATGTTTCCAAAAAAAAAGTAACCCACTTGATTGAGTGAAGTGTTATGCATAATTAATGAGAATATTGAAGGGTGGTGTAGGAGGCATATCAGTCTATTAGCTTCATCTCTGCGCACACAAATCCACCCAGTATTCCCCGAGGTCATGATTTACAACCAAAATGTGTGAAAATTCTATTTTTGAACCAGCGTAAAACAAACAGTAAGCGGAAGGTCGACCCTTATCACTTTAAAAACTGGATGAGGGCGTTTTATTTACCTTTTAATTACTTTGTTTAATGGAAACGTGTTTAATATATTCACGGCAGAAGCATATGTAGGAATCAATCGGTTGATAACGCATTCCTTTCATGTGAATAGTGCATTCTTGAATTACGATTTGCGCCTCATTATTTATGGCTATATACTAATACTGTCTCCGATGGATTGTATTTCAGATCATGAGTCATTTAAGGGGGTGACGGGTTGTTTGTTTAGTTGGGCTTGTTAGAGTGTTCACGCCATTTTTAGTAATACTACTCGGCTAATTTCGTAAGTGTTCTAATTTCAACATCAATTTATACAAAGTGATTTCTTACGATCATAGAATTTTGACATCAGAAAATCAGTATTTGTTTATTTATGCATATCTAATCTTACACAGTGATGATAGATACGTGGATACAATACACTAATGTTGTTTTTTTATTGTTTTTTGTTGTTGTTCTTTTGTTTTGAATCAGGGTCTTTCAAATTCTATTTCTATTTGAAAGACCCTGTTTGAATGGAATAAGAAAGAAGAAGAAACATCAAGTCTGTATGTCTGTCTGTCTGTCTGTCTGTCCGTTTATGTCTGTCTGTTTAACACATGTCAATCGGTCTGCTTGTATTTTACCTGTAAAGTCTACAGTGTCTATTAAGATATATACTACTTGTGTATTAAATGTATACTACTTGTGTATTAAATATATACCACCTGTGTATTTAATATATTCTACTTGTGTATTAGATATACACTATTTGTTTATTAAATATATACTACTTGTGTATTAAATGTATACTAAATATGTATGAAATATGTACTACTTGTGTATTAAATATGTACTTCTTGTGTATTTATTGTATACTACATGTGTATTAAATGTATACTACTTGTGTATTAAATATATACCACTTGTGTATTAAATATATACCACTTGTGTATTGAATATATATACTATTTGTGTATTAAATATATACTATTTGTTTATTAAAAATATACTACTTGTGTATTAAATGTATACTAAATATGTATTAAATATGTACTACTTGTGTACTAAATATGTACTACTTGTGTATTAAATGTATACTACGTGTGTATTAAATGTATACTACTTGTGTATTAAATATATACCACTTGTGTATTAAATATATACTATTTGTGTATTAAATATATACTATTTGTGTATTTAATATATACTACTTGTGTATTAAATATATACTACTTGTGTATTAAAAAACCAAGGAATCTCTGGATTATTCTACATTCATTCCAGACGGCCATATATAATCTAACAAGCGTATAGTAGTCCCGAGCCTAGAAAAGTGGTAACGCTATTCTAGTGTCTTTAGTGGTCCATAAAAACATTCCAAAGAAGGGCTTTCGTTACTTAGCCAAGAGATTAACACCCACTCTTAAGCACGTTTTACAACGTATTGTGTTTTTTTTATCCTCTCGACGGGCTACAAATTTAGTTTTGATGGTTATCAAATTAGTGAGTTTTGTTTGAAGTATCATAACTGCAAATCATAGATTACGTGATATTTGCATAAACACAATTTATAGATCCTTTCCGGAATAAAAATGAATAATCGGGTGGAAGGAAATTAGAAAATAATTGTGCGTGTTTTAACATTTAAGTGTTAAATCCATTTTTAAAGATTGGAGATAAAAATTGATTCCCACGGTCCATTTGCTATTAATAAATATTAGTCAGCAAGAGGACCAGGTTAACAAGAATGCCACTTGTGTTTTGGATGCTACCAAAACAACGAGAGAAAAAGATCTCAAACCGCAAAACAGAAGGTTTATAATTGGAAATTACCCGAGTCCAGCTGTTCTAACAGTTGGCTTTGCTATTTATGAGCATACAAGATATATAGGGCGTAGTCCAGGGACACTTTCAAATGTGTACACATACTATAGAAACTCGATAGTATGAAAAATGACACTGCAAAAGCAAATTTACATTTTAATGGTAATTCCGATCTAGAATTTAAAAGATTAATACCTATCTATTTTAGGCATTGCCTTATTTAACATTAATATTTTTCATCATTGTGTGTCTATGATTTACATGAGGACCAAAATACGTTTATATTAAGAGATAAAACGCCCTGCATTGGTTTTTGATGACACGTGGTACTAAGCCATTTTGACCCGTTGAAATATTTCTCTTTTATTTGCGTAGCTTCCGAAGTATTTATCAATTCCTTTAGTATGCTTTATGTCCTATTAGACTTATTAAAATAACTGTTATATTTACACAAGACATTTTTGCATAAAGTATTATTAAAAGGACGCCCTCCTTATATACGTATTTTCTGAAAATTTGCGTAAAGCTTTTATACTATAAAACCAATATTCATGAAGAACGCACACTCCATAAATTCCTGGGCTGTTTTATTAGATAGCGACATTGCGTTCGACAAGAAGAATAAATAAGTTTTGATACTAAAAAAAATACCTTTACGCATTGG